TGATTAACATTAAAATACCCTGTAAAGGGTATAGAAAGGAGTAAGGCCCAGTGGGAAGGGTGGTGGGAGGTGTTAAACTGCCCACGGTATGGTGGGCACAGGATAGGTGACAGCGAAACAGCGAGAGAGAGAGAGAGAAAGAGTGTGAGAAGTGAGAGTGGGAGAATGAGAGAAGTATAAGGAAAGAGAGAGGGAGAGAGACTCCAACTCGCAATCAGTATATCACTATCAGTCACCGACTGACCAAATATAAGCCCCTCACCCCCCACTTCACCATCCCTCCCACCACCACCACCCTTCGGCGACTAACCTTGCCTTGTTTACTTATTTACCGAGTGGGTGGCAGGCAGAAGCGAGAAGAGAGAAGCGACCAGTCCACCCAACCACCAAACAACCACAGGGCGCATACGTAATTGTTGAGTAGTTAAATTCCGTACAATGCACAGTGGGTCAAATACGAGCATATAGCGTGTAAAAATAATAAAGCCTTCAATGCAAAATATCAATGTCTTGAATATAATATTTATATTTTAAGGATTTGATCTAATGGGTTTATTGATATTTAATATGATTTGATAGCGAAAGATCTTTTTAATAATAAACAAATATACATATGTAAATATCAATATCTAGAATATAATATCGATATTTTCATCATTTAACCTATAAATAATATATATAAAAAAAATAAATGAATCTAATTAAATATCAGTATATAAAATACTGATATTTAGAAACCATCTATTTAATGAATTGACCTCATCAGTTGATCGATATTTCACTTGTAATAATGGAAAAATCTCTTTAAATAATAAAAGATAAACATTACTATTTCAAGGTAGTAACATAATCTAAAACATTATTACGTTATCACATTAAGCAGATAAAAAATATAACTATTCGAAAATATTAATATTTTTTATATAATCGACACCTCTAGCTAGGTATTGCATTTTTTAAATTAAGTTTATTAATGATTGAATATTTAGTTATTGTCAAATTGATATAAATTTACCCTAAGGTAATTCAAATATTTTTAAACCCTTATCCACAGTGCAACGCAATGCCACGCATCAAGAATTGAGTTTTGCATTTCCGATGACATATTTTCGCCAGCCATCAATCAATCAATGAGTCAGTCGATCAATCAATCAATCAATTTAATGTGTAAAATGCGTATGCAAACAAATAACCAAAAAGGATAATGCGAAATATATACTGTTTACATAAAGGTATACATGCTTTATATGTTTTTACAAATCAAATTTAAATTCCTATCAATATATGTTTAATTTCAATATCTAGAAAGTGATAATGTTAGTTTTAATTCAATGTAAAATAAATTACTCAACTTATTTTTTATTGTGTGTATTTTTTGTCTGAATTCCAGCAGTGGAAACAAGTTAAGTGGCATGGTTGGAATGCCTGAAGTAGTCAATAATTTACATAAAATCGCCGCGATCCGCGGGATCAGCTCAATCTCAATCTGAGTCGTCTCAATTTCAATCTCAAGAGTCTGCGGAAAAATATACATCTCTCTATACGTCTCTCTCTCTCCCCCTTTTCTTTCTGTCTCTTTTGCTCGACTCTTGCCTTCTTCTGTAGGACAAAACGACGTCTTGATGTCTGCGAGAATTGAAGGCATTATTTCTTTCCCATTCTTTTTTTTTCGAAATTCTTTCATGGCACCCCCGTTGTACCGTTCCGTTCACTTCTATACAAAATTCAATTAAATTTATCGTAATCATTTAACAATGGAGAAGTTTGCAGTTCAACAAATTCATTGTTATTGTTGTTGTTGTTGTTGTTGCGACGAGGTGTCCATTTACACTCGCGTTGTGTGTGTGTGTATAAGGTTATGCGGTTATATGAGTATTTCATTTCATATTTTATTTTTTATACCCTTGCAAGGGTATTATAATTTTGGTCAACAGCCGAGTCAATTTAGCCATATTTATTTTAAAATTTTATAGGGAGTAACTTCATTGAAATTGTCAAAATTAGTAATATTTTGAAATTTGAATTTGAGTTTTTACATTTATTAAACTAAGCTTTTAAAATGAATGCTTTCTTGACTTAGTTATGAGTTTTTTAAACTTTGATTTGTCAAAAATTAATGTCATATACAAATATCGATAAATATCGATTAAAGAAGTCCCATTTGATGCTATAATTCAATGGGAAACTGCAAGAGTATATAAATTTCGGCTTCCCATTCTCGGTTTTTTTTTTTATATTTTATTTATTTTTTTTTTTTTGTATTTGCCATTTGCTTTTCCCTTATATTCAATTTCTCGATTAGTCAATGGCTTTTTGTTACTGTACAATAATTGATTTATTTATTCATATTCATGTGCAACCACACTGCGTATACGCAATGCGGCAGACGGGCGAGGTGATGGTGATGGTGTGTTGAAAAATGTTCGATATTGCGCTTTGAATATTAAAATAATTCTCAATCATTTTTACATGGACAAACATTTTGCGGTTGCCAAAGAGCCTTCAACCAGTCAGTAACAGGACAGTTTCACAATATATTTATCAATTTAATGGAGGTTAAATTTCTAGTCGGTGTTTAGAAAAGCCAACAAACAACTTTCTTTCTAGATTTTCTTGAAAACTTCTCTCAAATCAGTCTCACGTAATTTGAAAAATTGCACACATGCAACTAAAATGAAAACGTGACAAACTTTCCAACGAAAAAATAAAACAAATTGCAAACAAAGAAAGATAATGGTAAAGTGAGAGTTTAATGGGGCAGCAAATAAAAAATAAAACAAACAAAGCCAAGAACTCTTTGGAAATGTGAATAAATTTAGAAAGAATAAAATCCCAAAGAAATGGAATCTTTAGTATCAATATCATAGCCACATTTTGGTTTAAATAGTTTTCTTAAACTGAACAAGTGGCTTTAACTTTATTATTTATAATATTCTCATTACTGCTGACGTCACAGTCACATTTTTTATAGAACACTGAAATAATAAATAATTTTTGCACATACACAGGCGTTGTCGGGAAATGTGGAAATATATCCATATATATGTATATATATATATATGAATAGGAAAAGAAATGTTCATTCAGAACAGACAGAGACACAAAACAATGACAAATATGCATGGAAAATATACGCTAGAGACGAGAGATGAATGAAATAAAAATGGGAAAATGGGACAAGAAATGGTGGGGGAGGGGGATTTTCGCGAAATGTATGGAGAGAAATATTGGAGAAAGAGAGTGGAGAGTGGAGAATGGAGGCCACATTTTGGCAAGGGGGTGGAGAATATGAAATCACCAAAAAGGCCGCACCGCAGCCACAATGGCGACCAATATTTGTCTGCTGATTCTGTTCTATATTTTATAGAGATATATGAGGGATGAGGCAGAAAGCAAGCGGTGATGGCATTCGCTCATCATCATCATCATCATAATTATTCCCATATAAATTAATGACAGCGACAAGTGACAAAGGAAAAATCAACCAAGTGAAACCAAGTTGAGTTCTCTCAACTAACAATTAAATTCTACTTAAAAATCTGAACAAATGTAATGAATTTGGTTAACAAAAATAAACAGTGACTATTGCACAACTTTAAAATTGTTATAAATCATAGTAAATTCCAAAAGAATCACTTAGCAAATGCAATTTTCAACCTTGTTTTAAAGTCTTAACATTCAATTAAAATCAACTTAAAAATCTGAACAAATGTAATGAATTTGTTAAACAATGATAACCAATAAATATGGTACAATTTTAAAATTGTAATAAATCCTAGAAAATTCCAAGAGAATTGCCTAGTACAATCAAATTAATCTTTGTTTTAAAGGTTTAACATTCAATTAAACAATTAAAATAAACGTAAAAATCGAAACAAATTTAATGACTTTGGTTAACAAAAATAACCAACAATAATTTGGCTAAGAAAACATAGAAAATCCACAAAGAAATCACTTAGTAAATGCAATTTTTAACTTTGCTTTAAAGTCTTAACATTCGGTTCTAAAAACTAAAAAAGGGACAAAAGTTCGTCACAATTGCTTTTAATTTTTCACATTGTTGTTCATTATGCGGTCAGTTAATGTCATTTAGTGTTCGTTCATCGGCTTAATTTTCATCTCGTACGTTTTTTATTTGCAGTTTTTCACAATTTGTTTCGGTTTTTCTCCCCCCCCTTGAAAAAAGCGGATAAATCCCCTTTACTCATGGCTCAATGTTTACTGCATTTCTCGTTTCCAATTTCGATTATTGAGGTTTTCACTTATTTTTTCGAGTTTTTCCATTTTTTTTTTTTGTTTTTAGCTGGCAATGAAAGTGAAATAATATGTGCAATATGCATATATACACTCACACTTGACGGCAGGGGGGAAAGGGGGGCGGATAAAGACGAGGTGGACGCCTCTCAACTTTTGCCATCATAAATCACAACAGACTGCCACAGTGGGACGCGTATAAAATTTTAAATTTAAAAATATCTATGCACAAACAAATTACAAAAAGAATTACGATATTTTGTGGTGAATGAAGGTAAATGAATGAAAAGAAAATGGATTCAATATTATCAATATGACTATGAATATTTAAAAAACATAAACACAAACAGCCTTCAAAATAATCGAAAAACCATTGCTGATAAAATTGTATATCGAGAGGAAAAATTTGATAGAAAATATCGAAAAATATAGCCCACTTAAATTCATATTGAACATATTATAAGCTATATTTCGAATTAGCAAATATCGAAACGTATCTCATTTTAAGTTAAAATATCAATAAAGAAAAGAATATTACATTATTCATCTTTTTTTCGATTACATTGGTCCGATATATTCAACATAAATCGATTTATCGCAATCGTAAAATTTATACATCATCTTTAGCATGAAATATCGAAACAGTTTCTAAAAATATAAAATTTTCTTGTACATAAATTTCAATAATTATAAAAATCTAGTATTCCAGGTGAAATCTGTAAACAAACCTTAGATCGTCAAGCTCTCAACGAACTCCAGATCAGTTCAGAAATCGGAAGTGAACGAACAACAACTCGAAATTTTCTACCAAAACAAATACAAGTAACAAATTTTGTTTTCAAATTTTTATCAAAACTAGGTAAGTTTCCTTGTTGGAATATACGATTCAAAGTTTATTCTTTTTCGATCAACATTATTTATATTTTATTAAGGAACTATTCCGATATGGTGCGACCAAGGAAACCCTCTAGTCTGCTAAGGACAACATATTGTTATCTGATGAGGATCTACTACAATCGCTTCTGGTGGAGCATGATCAAGAGCTATGGACTCTTCTTTTTGGCCATAACATTGAGCCGTTACTTGCATGGCTACGAAATTATGCCCGAAGCCGTCTGTTAAAATCTGGCTCCAAATGACTTGACTGCCTCCTTCCCATTTTTGAAATTCGAACTGATTGATGAAGCAAAGTATATTTTTTGGATAAATTTGTCAAAATTATGAAACCACATTAAATGCAATTTTATTCTTGGATTTGTGTATTAGTTTTCATTTGAAACTAGGGGGGGGGGAATACTCGCTTTTCTTTAATTATATAAATAAAACGTGAAAAGTGTCTGCCATTTTGCCGTTTTGCTTTATAAACAGCTCTTGTCTCAGTGAAAATCTGTTGTAATTGCCGTCGTGTGACGTCAATTGCTTTCGGCCAAGGTGAGTAAATTTAGTTTGTTGACTTACCGCATGAAGCCGCCGCTGCCGGTGGCGATCATCTGGTGATGATGATGATGATGATGTTGCTGCTGCTGTTGCTGGTAGAGATGTTGCTGTTGCTGTTGCTGATGCTGCCGCAATCCGTGGGCCATGTCCCCAAAATCGATGCTGCTACTGCCGCCACTCATAGCCGGATGACGATGTTGCTGCTGTTGCTGCTGCTGCTGCTGTTGCTGCTGTTGCTGTTGCTGCTGCTGTTGCATAGGAAGTGGGTAGAACTGCTTACTCAGGATAGTGATTCCTCCGCCGCTAGCAGTGCTGGTTATGCTACCCGATCGACTGCCTCCGTGCAAGGATGCAGCATGATGGGTCTGGATATTGGGATTGGAATGCGGCGATCCTGCCGGCGATGATGTAGCCACGGCTGCAACAGCGGGATATGAGATCAACTGTTGCTGCTGCTGCTGCTGCTGCTGCGGAGGAGGAGGAGCAACTGCTGCTGCTGCTGCTGCCACCGATGTTGCCGATGGAAATGTGGTTTTGTGGGAGCCATTGGCCAGCAGCGAGGGCGAGGGCGAGTGCGTCGACATGGTCAGGCGGTTCGACTCCGGCGTGTGGGCAATGCTCGTGTAGTGCTGAGGAAACAGAAACCGAAACAAAAAAAAAAAAAAAAAACGAGGGAAAACAAGCCAGTTAGAGATGAGGAGACACGGTGAGAAATACACGGGTTAATCATCACTACAATGATGACGTAATCAGCCAAGATTTCACTAGATTTTAAGGGTTTTGTTGTGGACTAGATAGATCTTCATATAATATTTTGCAACTAACACTTTATACTATTTAATCTTTATATATTTTGTTAAGCTTCATTTCATGTAATTAATTAAAATATATACAAGCACTTTACAAGGTTTAATTTAAATATTTATAATTTTATTTACTTTCTGAAATCAAGTTAATGGACTCAAGTCTAAGTTTTCGATGTTAAGTTTATTAATTTTATTCTTATTCATTTATTGATCAATTCATGTGTATAACAGGGATTATTGTTGATTTTTATGGTCATATTAAATTTGTATTTGTTTACTTTTTAATTTAATATGAAAATACACTTTTAATTTGCACTTTTTAAATCGATACCACCTTCTATTTTTATATAATATGTTTAAATAAAATTTGTATATTAATATTTATATAGTTTTCAATGAGTAATCTTGTTGATATTTATCATCTTTAAGATGCTGCACTTTACTAAATCACAAAATTTTCAATTTGTATATTTTTATAGCGTTTTATAATACTTTCTTTATGATAATCCATTTTCGTTCACTGTAATTTCTTCCTGTGCACTGGCTGACTGCTTCAAGTGGGCTGTGGTCTGTCTATGGGGAGGACTGAACCGAACCGGACCGGACTGGGACTGGATCGATTTATACATTATACGTACCATCTGCAGGACATCGCACTCCTTGGGCACCACGTGCAGCGTGAGGACCGCCGGCGTCTGCTTGATCATCGAGACGATGGTGCTGTAGGCAATGCCAGCGATCGGCTGGTTGTTAACCATCAGCACGCGGTCGCCCGTCTGCAGGTTGGCGAGGTGGGCCGGTCCGTTCGCCTGCACCTCTTTGATGAAAATGGTCTCCATCGCTTTCACTTGGTACGGCGGCAGCGACGTCAGCGACGTCGGAGACATTGGCTCCAAACCGGTGATTCCGCCGTTGCCGCCGCCGCCGCCGCCACCGCTGCTGCTGCTGCTGCTGCCGGCCAAGCTGGAGGCTTCCTACACAAAACGAGAGAAGAGAGAGAGAGAGAAGAAATTGTTTGAGTTTCAGTTGGAAGCACAGTCAGGGTTGTGATAATAGATACCACAATTAAAAAGTATTTCTAGACCTGCGTATAATAATAATAATATTAATATTATTATTATTAATTATTAATATTAATATTAGATTGTGATTTTTTAAATAAAATGCCTATGACTAAATTATTTTAATACTATAATCAAAAGGAAAATATATAAATAACAACTCCAGAAGAATGCAACATTCTTTTGATATGAAACATTTTCAACATATACATTTCTGCTTTACAAGAAACCTCTTAAAATGATCTAGTTTTACAAATCAAATTCTTATGACTAAACTATTTTAATAATATAATAAATAAAGAAATATATAAATAACTACTCCAGAAGAATATAACATTCTTTTGATATGAAACATTTTCAACATATACATTTCTGCTTTACAAGAAACCTCTTAAAATGATCTAGTTTTACAAATCAATTTCTTATGACTAAACAATTATCATAATATAATAAATAAAGAAATATACACTCCTGTTCATAATTATACGACACCTATGAAATTTTTGTTTCAGCGGTCGTAGGAGAATGGAAAATCACAGTAGATGAAAATAAAGTATGCCGAATAATAGCACAAGGAGTTGTGCACAAAATGCGCTATTCTTATCCTTGCTTGCATCACTCGTTTTCAAGTAACGGTAAAAAAAGCACACACGCCCTGATTTAGGCTACCCTGAATTTGTTTCAAAATGATACGACACATTTTAATTATTGCGGCTAAAGAGGAAGGTTTAGGGTTTATTGGTTTTTTTATAATTTTGTTAAATATTTTATTCATTTTTTAATAAAATGCCGCATGGTAGCTTTTTAAGCGAAGAATAGAAGGGAAAAATTAAGGCGTATAACGAGTCTAGCCTTAATGTTAGCCAAATATCCCGGCTGATGGGTCGAACACGCTGTGTTATTACCAATTTTTTGAAAAATATGGATGGGTACGGTGTCAGACGTAGCTCTGGAAGAAAGCCGGAGCTATCTGATCGCGACAAACGTCGAGTATTTAACAATGCAAGCAATTCTTTTTCATCGTGTGCCTCACTTTCTGCGTGTTTCAGTCGTCCTGTGTCCCGTAGGATTATCTGACGAACATTACCAAGCTCGGAAAATATTGTAAGAGTAGTTTAGAAAAAAACTCCGATATTAAAACCGCAGCACGACTTCAGTTTGCCGGAAACAATTTGGAAACAAACTGGACCTCGATATGGAATTTTAACTCAATTTAGGTTATAAAGGTTTTTGTCAATATTTCACATTTTAGATAATTTTTTCTGATGAGAAAAAATGTAATCTTGATGGCCCAGATGGGTTTCGTCCTTATTGGCTTGATTTGGGTAAGGATCCCCTTATGTTCTTAACATGCAATTTTGGAGGCGGATCAGTTATGGCTTGGGGTGCCTTTCATGCGTCCGGTACGCTTGAACTGTGCTTTACAAGCACAGAAATTAAAAGTTCAGACTACAAAAATGTGTTTCAAGATCGTCCTCTGTCATTTTCGGATCGAAATACGGACCAAAATTATGTTTTTATGCAGGATAATGCGAATGCAAAGAGACGCAACGGTTCCTCAATGACAATAAAATAAATGTTTTGGATTGGCCGGCTTGCTCTCCTAACCTTAAACCGATTGAAAACATCTGGGGTATCTTAGCCAGTCGAGTTTACGCCATTAACAACAAATTTCAGACTGTTAAAAGTCTCAAAAATGAAATTTTAAGACAATGGTCTCTCTTGGACCAAAATATCTTAAAAAACCTTAAAAATTCAATGCCTAAAAGAATTTTTGAAGTGGGAAAAGCACAAGGCGCCGTTATAAACTATTAATATTTAGTTATAAACAATTAAACCAATAAAATATTAGCTGTAAACAAAAATAAAGAAATGTGTCGTATCATTTTGAAACAATTTCTGGGTAGCCTAAATCAGGGCGTGTGTGCTTTTTTTACCGTTACTTGAAAACGAGTGATGCAAGCAAGGATAAGAATAGCGCATTTTGTGCACAACTCCTTGTGCTATTATTCGGCATACTTTATTTTCATCTACTGTGATTTTCCATTCTCCTACGACCGCTGAAACAAAAATTTCATAGGTGTCGTATAATTATGAACAGGAGTGTATAAATAATTATTCCAGAAGAATGCAACATACTTTTGATATGAAGCATTTTCAACATATAGAAAATTGATTTCTGCTTTACAAGAAACCTCTTAAAATAATCTAGTTTTATTTATGTTTTATAATACATGAATTATTTTTGAACGTATATTTTGTTATTTTGCAAGCATTAAATTTAAAATTACTTTATATTTATTTATTTAAGTATTTAAAATACTTGCAAATTATATTTCAGATTGAAGCACTGCGAGTAAGTCCTATTAATATGAACACAATCGTGTTTAAGCCGTGAAGCAACAACGTCTTTAAAGGAGATTGTGGATTGGATTAAGCTTTGGGCGGAAAACAAGAAGAGAGAGAGAAAGAGCTTGAGCTCGAGAAGAGAGTTGGCGAGAGCAAAGTTTGTAATATCAACAAAAATAAAATGGACACAAAAAGTGAAGTGAGCAAAACAGAAATTAGTGCAAAAATAAAAACGAACAAAAAATATATATATAAATTTAACGGAAAGAGAAAGAGAAAGGTAGGCCTAAAGACATTCAAATACCCTAACCCATGGAACCATAAACTTTGAATAAATCAGGCATCACTCGTTTATACAGTCAAAAAATAAAAATTTTAAATATAACGTATCCATTGGAATTTGTGTCAAAAACTTTAGTCTCCGAACGTTTCCATTCAAATCGTTTTGTCGAAACAATCATTCTCTCACTGTTTCTAGTAACAGTAAGTTCATTATGTATTTTGTAGTCCAGTAAAAATAAGTTCAATTCTATGATATGTGATCAAGTAAAAATAAGTTCATTTCGTCGCCTAGTAAATATATTTATATTTTACCATATATTATTACGTGTCCTTTGAAAGTAAGTAAACTAAATATTTCGTTTTCATTGTCGTAAATCCAACGTTTTATGTTGAAAGTGGAGAGCTCCGAAGCTAAGCCAATCGAGAAGATGAGCGTCCAGCTAAAGTCCCAGGAGGGTGAGATTTTCAACGTGCCACATAGGATCATTAAGTGTGCCACCAATGTCATATATGCGATGAAGACTTTTCAAGTTCAGGGCCCGTTCCCATTGCCAGGCATTAGTTCAAATGTTTTACACAAGATTATCGCTTGGGCTGATTACCACAAGGATGACCCTGAGCCAATGGAGACTGATAGCAGTGAGGATGAAGAGTACGAAGTCGTATCCTGGGATGCCAAATTTCTTAATGTTGATTCGACCACCATGTCTGAAATTAAAATGGGGGCACGCTGCTTGGGCATCGAGGGTCTACAAAGAGTCTGTGAGGCTTTGACCAAAACGGTCAAGAAGAAGAAGACCTAGACATAGATGATCTACGCAAAGCAGATGCCAAAAAAAAAAAAGGAAAACAATGGGACACACCGCCACAAAATCCTAGCCTAGTTTCTAATTGTTAAATTTATATTTTTGTTTATTCAGCATGCGCAAAAAAAGTTAATAAAAAAAATGTTAATGATTAAAATTTCAATTCTAATAACATTCTCAGCCTTTTTAGCATGCTTTATTTGCCAATTTTTGTGCAGGGTATCAACGTCGCACAAATAAAAGGCAAACGTCAAAAAGAAAGCAGAAAAAATAAAAGAAAAAGCAAAAGCGCCAATTTGAATAAGTCGCGCGTGCGCAGCGCTCACGTAACAGCGACGCTGACTTCGGCAGCGACTCAGCAGAGCGCGCGAGAGATGGAGAGAGAGAGAGCAAAAGAGAGAGCGTCTGATGACTAATTTTCTTGACCGGCGCGCATGCGCAGCGGATCTTTCTTTTGCTCTCACGCCCCAAACTCGCTCTGGTCCTCTCACTTCCTTTGGACCTAATTGGGAGGCAGCTAAAGAGTATTTATCTAAGGATTATAAAGTATTTTTAATACCTAGAAAGGTCTTTCGATTTTAAATCAATATATGTTTATTTAACAATATATATATTATATATTTATTTTATAAAATATATTATATATTTATTTTATAAAATATATTATATATTTATTTTATAAAATATATTATATATTTATTTATAAAATATATTATATATTTATTTTATAAAATTTATATAAATATATTATATATTTATTATTAAATATAATATATATAAAGTATACATTAAATATATGTATTTTTAAATAAATATATATTGTGTATTTATTTTATATTATAAAATATATATTATATATTTATTTAATTTATAATATACTATTTATATTTTTCTAAGCACTTTAAGTCCTACAAAATTCGTTAAACCTAACTATAAAAATACATACGTTTTATGAAGTTATCAAAACCATAATTTAATGTCAAAGCATAATTTTTTCTATAATTAAAAAACTATCTATCATACATGTGTAAATATATTTTTATAATTACTTAAGAAACGGAAAATAAGATATACTTCACACGGTTACCTTCAAATATTTAAATTGCCTCTTAATTAAAAAATCATTTCGAGGTTCCAGTTAGTTTAACTCGGGGTTAACTTGATTTAAAAAGTAAGAAACTGTTTTCCTTACTCTATATTTAAAAACCGACTTGAGATATTATTTTGAATGTAAATGACCAATATGTGGATAGATATCAATAACAAAGCAACAATAATAACTAAGAATTAGGCTAGTTCCACCTTCTTAACTTTACATTGAGATATAGACAGGAGATTTAATCTAAAAGCCAGAAGAATACTAAGGGAGTACGTTTCCATAAAGCACTTGCTTTCCTTAATTAAATATAAACCCATGGTTAAAAACAAATCAAGAGCTTAAAGTATATTCCAATTTTTTAATTTATTAGTATTATTATTATTATTATTAACTTTATTATTATTATTATTAACTTTATTATTATTATTAATATTTCCTTTGACTCACCTGTGGCCAGCTGGCCGTTGCTGTGGCAGATCCAGTCGCCGTCGCCGCGGCATCATCTTCCGGCGGATAGGCAATGAAGTGGCGCAGCGTGAACCCGAATCCCTGGTTCGGTCGCCGGCAGATGACGATGAGCTTCGGCTGGATGGAGGAGGCGGCCAAGGCGGCATTATTGGCTGCTGCTGCCGCCGCTGCCGCTGCCACCGCTGCTGCCGGTGTGGCCACCGCTGAGGCGGCTTGTGCTGCTGACTGCGCAGCGGCAGCGGCGTTCGAGTTTTGTAACATTTTGTTGCTGGTTTTTAATTTTTTATTTTGTTGTTGTTGTTTATTGTTTGTTGTGTACTCTCTTTTTGTTTTAGCGCTCTTTCTCTTTCGGTGGCTGCTTTTGTGGTTTTGGTGGTTTCAGTTTTTGTTTTTTGTTTTCCTATTTGTCGTGCGGTTAGTTAAGTTTTGTTTTGTTTCTTTAATTTTTTTTTGTATTTTTTAGGCGGTCAACCTGTTGGTGGCATCCTCGTTTGTGCGGCGACGGTGGGTGGGTGGGTGGTGGCGGTGCTCCTCCTTCTTCATCCACCTCTTCTTCTCCCCCTCTCCTTTCCCCTCTCTAGGATATATGTATATATCCACCGATATATATTTTTTTATATATTTATCGTTTATATGTATACTCTATATAATAATTTGGGGGATTTTCATCTACACCTTGGTATGCATTGCAAATTTTCGATGTGGTTGCGGCGGCACGAGGCCCATCGTACCGATCGTTATTACCATAGTACTGAGAATACAGTTTATTCTGTGTGATCAGTAATTGATTGATCGATCGATTATGGTAACGGGAGGGGTAAGCATCTGAAATAAGAAAAAGGAAAATTAGTTTATAACTTGATTTATAGTATGATTTAGATACTACACTTTTTTAGTAATAGCAAGAACATCGTTGTTTCAGTCACTTTAAAATTAATATACTTTGCAACAAGTATTAAAACTTTGGTCAAATGTTTATTCGGGGACTTAACTTTCTAAAATAATGCTCGAATTTGTTTTAAATTTAAATTAAACATTGCAGAAGAAAGCAAACTATGTTGATAATAGAGGACAAATGTTGCGCAACACTCAAAGACAAATGTTGCTGGGAACTTGTTGAGCAACACTGATTGATGCTGCTAACACAAATGCATATGTTGCTAAGGTTCAAGAACCTTATAAATTCATGATTTTTATCAGATCACCAGTCTAAATATTATATAACAATTTTTAATTTAAGCATTAGTATTGCTTAATTTCAATTTTGAATGATTTTTTTTTTCGGAATATATACACTATAGGGTGTCAGAGATGCCTCTTTATGCCTGTTGGATACATTATCAATAAACACTAGGCTATAATAACATTTTACCTTATGTGAACTGTCAAATGCTTCCACATTTATTAAGATGGATAACAAAAAATATTAATTTTCCTGTGAAAACCCAACACTTCACCTCCATAAAAAGCTGGCCTAAATGTTCTTGGCACTAGCGTCTCCTGAACCCACTAAGTTTTATAACAATTGGGGGGTTTACATATGGAAATGAAAAGAGGAAAAATGGTAAGTTGGTAAGAGGTTGGCGGTCAACCAAAAAATGCGACGAGGCGTGTTACACTTTTTTGTTTATATTTTTTTAGCCCGTCTGTCTGGCAATTTGACGGTCAATGTCCAACATTTGAATCTGTTTTTCGGCTTTTTTACTGTATTTTTTATGCTTTGTAATTAAAGCTGAAAAGGTTTTGCTTTGTTTCGGTACGCTTTTTGTCTTTTGGGCCTTTGGTTTATTCAGTTTGAGGGGTTTTTTTCTTTCTTTCAGTTAGTTGGTAGTAAAAAGCACTTAACTAACTGTACACGGGCATATGGGCCGATCGTAATATTTGGCTCTATGGCACTATGATGATATAATGCCGTTTATTACCACAAGAGAAAAAACAAATAAACAAAGAAAAGATTTAAGTGACTTAACCTGTCGATCAAAAAGAAGGTTTAACCACCCTTGCTTGCTTTTCTTTTACTGATTTTTTTTTGTGTATATATGTATAAAAAGTTTAAATTAATAATAGAAAAACGAGGTATTGGAATTGGAAAAAATTAATGGGAAAACAAGTATAAAACACCGGAAATTCAAAGCAATTTCCTTCCTTTCAGAAAAGTGTATGTACATATATGCAAAAACTAATAAACGTTTTTATAATCATTTACATATTTTACAAGACAAACTAGTGCAATTATTACTATAACTTATTAACGACAACGAGAACTGCGCCGCACATTCAAAAACAAATAAAAATGGGACAACAATGAAATATTAATGCCAAAGTGACTGTATTCATTTGTTTGCTTTCGAATGAAAACTGATCTCAAAAAGCCAAAAACTGGCTGAATATTTCCTACCCACAACTCTCGAATTAATTTTCATAATTAGTGTTAGACAATTTATTTATGTTATTTTTTTAATGGCAAAAATAAAGTAGAGATAGAACCCCCCGTTGATTTAATTTGCGAGTTTTTAGCTATTGTTGGGTCTTTGAACTTTTGGGGGAGAAACAATATATATAACCCGTGGAGTTTCGTTTAATCAAGTCAGGCGATAAGGTCAAAGATCAAAGACCCCAAAAATAATTAAAGGATTTTTATATATATATATATATATATATTTAGTTATGATTCATGATCTGGCATCTTACTGAACGTAATTAAACAAGAGAAAGAAGTCAAAAATAGCAAGAAATATAAACGACAGCCACCGCAATAATAATTTGAGCTAAAACACATGTAATTACCCGCAAACAGATAGACGGACCCAACAACAGATTGTTCAGATACTAGTCTCTATAATTGCCCCATTGTAATTGCATTGTCAAAGTTGCTGTGTGTGTGTTTTTTTTTTTTTTCAGGAGGGAAACGAAATCAACTCAAGTGTGTCAAGTCATTCAAGGCGATATATATATATATACAGGCCAATAAACCAGAGATAAACAGATTCGTCCAGAGATTAACTTGAATGCTGGCAAATCATAAAAACAAAAACATAAATAAATAAACTAACATGCCTAATGAAATGATTGTAAAAACCTCTTCTTTGCTACTGTTTTTGTAGACCTTGACTAGTCCCTCACTCTTATATAGAAAAAAAAAAACACCATTATAACGACCTATATCAACTTATCAGCAATTCAACCGATAGTTAAACTGAAGGTTAAGCGATAGTCAAAACATAAAGATATTGTTTTAAGGACTTTAAATTTATATTTAGACTTTTTTGGGAGCTGAAGTTATTGAAATCTTTACTTACAATATTTTTAAAAGCAAGTTCTTTAGTAATTACCACATAAAATACTTTAATAATTAATTGTAACTGAAGGTTAAGCAATAAAAACATAAAGATATTGTTGTAAAGACTTTGAATTTATATTTATAATTTTTTGGAACTTATTTATTATTTTTTATATTTTTTTTAGCGTTCCTTTAACTTTTATAAATTTCATGATTGTTCTTTTTTATTTTTTTATCTGGTTGCCGCCTCCTAAAAAAATCGAAATGTACTTCGATTGATTTATATTCTCTGATTCTGTTCCGCTTCTTTTTCTGGTTTGTTCAGACATCGTTTTCAATACTTTTACCGTTGCTTTGCTCATTACACGCTTGTTCTGCCTTTAATTTCCCCTCCGCCTCCATCAAAATCTTAACATTATTTTCGTTTTTTATTATTATCGGTTTTTACCTTCTTTGTTTCAGCGTCTCTTTCTCTCTCTCTTTTTTAGAAGTTTTTCCTCGTCTTTTGTTTGTTATTTTGGAAATTAATTCCCGGCCGAAAGAGAACGCTTGTAGTGCAAAACAATCAATTTATTTGTTATCAAGAAGCAACAACATCAACAACAACAAAATTGTTAAGTATAGTCAATAAAGCTGGCAAACGATTCTCGGTTGCCTGTCCGTGATATCATCGTTTTCCTCCCCTTCCATTATTTTGATATTTATTTGATTTATTTTTATTGATATCGAGCGGGGGAAAAAGAAGTAAGTTAAGAGTTCCATTGATTTGTTTATTTTAAATAGTTATCTTTTGGAATTGTATTTCTTTTATTATAAGATTGCAGGGTATTTTAATTTTAGTCAGGAGCATGTAACTCAGTGAAGGAGTCATTTCCAACCAACTATAAATCATATATATTCTTGATCAGCAGCAACAGCCAAATCAATCTAGCTATCTTAGGCAGAAAAAAAATTTTTAGCTAATTTTTATTTTATTTTATAAGGCGTTATATCATTAAAAATTTGACAAAAATTATAAATTTTGTAAATTTTAAATCGAGTAAGCAGATTTTTTATTTAAATAAAAACTAACATCGAAAAGCTTTCCGAATTAAAATTAATGCTTTTTTGGCTTAGATATGATTTCATTAAACTTTGATTTGCCAACAAAATATATGACAAATATGTCATAAAAAATATAGATTATTATCGATTCAAAGAATATGAATATTTTAAGCTTAGTTATGATAGATTTCCAATTCGATGCTTTAATTCAATTGCAAAATTCAAGGGTATATAAACTTTGGTTTCCCTAAGTTGGTTTCCTTTCTCGTTAGTATTTATTTGATATTTTTTAAAGATTTATTTTTATGTAACACCTTTTTCCTTGATATTTACTTATATTTCTTTCCTTGGAGAAACCTTCAGAAAATACTATTTCTCCCTTCACTTCATTTTACCTATTTTCCAGCTCAGATTTTGTAATTAGTAACTTCCACGCTTTTCCTATTAATAAAAATAATTGCAATGTAGTTCACCCTCTTTTTTTTCGTTTAAAAATAGTTAATCCTCATTTTACGTTGAACTTTGATTCCCCTTTTAATAAGAATAATTGCCATGGACACGGAAATACAAAAATACACTTGCTCTTTTCTCGTTATTTAATTATAGTTCGGTAATCCTTATTTCTGCACAACTTTTTAATTAGCCAGTTTAGAGTTCACCCCTTATTTATTATTATTATTTTATTCTTGGCCACTTTTAATTGGCCAAACTAAATGTAACCTTTTTCGCTGGCTATCTTTGGAAGTAAACTGATGCTATGGGAATTCAAAGCTCTTGCTTAAGGGTTAGACCACCCTGAAAATGATGAAAAAACTTTTTTTTATATATATATTTCCTTGCAGGGTATTAAAATTTCAGCCAAAAGTTTACAAGGTAGTGAAGATCACATCTCCGACCATATAATATATATATATATAAGTATTTATAACCAGCAAGTAACTATAATCAGTAAGAAACAATGATCAGTAACTAACTATAATCAGAAGAAAAATATGATCAGCAATGAACATTAAGTAACTATGATCAGAAAGTATCTATGACCAGTAATTAATAATGATCAGTAATTAACTATGAACAGTAAATAACTCTGAACACTAACTATCTATGAGCAGTAAGTAACTCTAACACTAATTAACTATGAGCAGTAAGTAACTCTGAATGATAAGTATCTATGACCAATAAGTATGTTTGTATGATCAGTTACTAACTTTGAACACTAGTAAACAATGACTTGCAACTTTTGTAACACAACACATATCTAAGACTTGGCTGGCAGCAGTCACTTCGTTCCGGGGATGCTAGAACCAGTTGGGAATCATACGCACGGATGTGCGAGATTTGTTTTAGAACAAATTTAAGCTATTTGAGTAAAATTATGGAGTTATTATTCTATATAACTCTACTAGTATATAAATCGGAGCATGGCGAATCGGTGGACTATATGTATACATATATATAGTTGACATAGGAACAATCGGACGATTTATTAAACCATGATCAG